AAAAAAAAAAAAAAAAAAAAAGAATGAAGAAAAGAGAGAGAAAAAGAGAGAGAGAAAAGAGAGAGAGAGAGCCAGTCGCGTGTATGAGGTACGGGCACATATCACAAGTATAAGCAACCGATTCAGTCTCGTGAACATGTACTACAAGACAGGAACAGCTGCATATCCCCTCACCTCCCGAGTGATAACATACTATGGATATATAGAGTCCGGATCTAGACCGCGAATATCCGAATTGCATTTACCAAGATGACATGACCTTCTCCCTCAACATCTTATTTTCTCCAAGACGTATGCCAATATATATCAATGAACAAGCCTCGTTCGAACACCCAGCATAGACCATGCTTAAACACTCCATACTAAATATCTCCCAAGATCCGCTTTACTGATAAAACAACCAACCACTTCACATCAATCCAACACATCCCACAACTCCACCATACCCACTTACAAGATACAGAACACTGGTTCGAAGTCTCATTCATTTTCTTTCGTAGTAAGGTATATGTATACTAAAATTGGTCTATGACGACATCACCGGGCGGCTGGCCTAATGGTAAGGCGCTAGATTTCGGCTCTAGAGATTGCAGGTTCGATCCCTGCGTCGCTCGATCTTTTTGTCTTTTTGTTTCGATCACCTTGATTATTATTATTAGGTCGGATCGGATGTATTGTTCTTGATTGTCAATTGCATTGTATTATTTGTCTTGGTTATGCTGCCTTGTTGTTTTTTGTTTTGTAGGAAGGGCCCTGTCTTGGTTAGGGTGAGGGCTATATATACTGCTGGTATTAACTAGGTGAAGCAAATGTCTTTTACATAGCTGCTACTAGACCATATGCTGATTAGTAGGGTTTTGGGTAGTAATTGGCGAAGTACTCCAGGTAGAGCTCGCCTCGGTCTCCTAGTATGACTACGTTAAGTAAGACTTACCTCGACTGAAGTTGCTTAGATGAAACTACTCCCAGGAACCAGCGGTTGATATCGACCATCGTACGTGTCTATTTAGTATACATTTCAGGGTAGAGTAGAGTAAAATACAGTATGTACAGATCAGCAGTCCGCCCGGCCGAAATACCGAGGGAAAGAGACCACGTCCCGGATACTGGAGACGCCAGCCAAGTATCCCAGGAATCGGTCAAACCCAAGCCCGAATCCTCCATGGGGCGCTGTTCCCCACCGCCGAAGATCCGCATACCACTGGAGATGGCCCAGGTCTTCACCGGGCTGGAGGTGAGGGTACAGTGGCGTCTCGGAATCGGCTTGTGCTCCTGCTTCCGCTTCCGGTTCTGGAGCGGATAGTGCGCGGGTTTTGATCAGCCCGTGCTCGCGCATGTTCTGGATGATGTTGGGGAGGCGATGCTCGCGGAGGGAGCCTCCTGCGACTTCGCTAACTTCTGGGAGGAGGAGATCAAAGCAGGCGACTGTTTCGCCTGGTGCTGCGGAGCCGTCTCCGCTGGATGGCAGCATGTAGAATGGCTTGACGACCTTAGGATAGTCGGTCACGAACACGGGACGGCCGTTGTGAATCACGTCGACGATGTACTTCTCGTGTTCGAGTTGAAGGCCGCCGGTCCATTCGGGTGCATGTTCGAATGTGGCTTGTCCCTTGGCGACCGCGTCCTGGAGTTTCTCAATCGCCTGCGTGTAGGTCATCCGACCCCATTTGGGTCCTTCCATCATATCATTCCATCGTTGTTTTAGATCAGCACCGGATCCTTCAGTTGAATCTTGACCGGACTCGCCCGACCGCTTTGCGGACAAGATCTCCTGGCCAACAGGTGTGTCGTGTAACCGACGAACCAGGTCACGGAGAATATACTCCACGGAGTCGGTCAGCGAGTCCAGGTCATGCATGTAGTTCATCTCCGCCTCCAGCATGTAGAACTCGCTAAGATGGCGCGGCGTATCGCTCTTCTCGGCCCGGAACATGGGTGATATCGTCCATACGTTTCCTAACTCTGCTGCATAGGCCTCGAGGTGGAGCTGCGACGATACTGTCAGGTATTTGGGTGCCCGAAAGAAATGCTCGCCCTCTGACTGTGACCCCATAGCCTCCCGCGGCAGGACTGTGAATGTCTCTCCAGCACCTTCACAATCCGACGATGTGATTAACGGTGGGTGGACCTGAACGTAGCCCCCGTTCGGGGCGAAGCGAAACACATTTCCTAGCTGGTACAAGCATTCGGATCGGAACCGTGAGAGGAGGGAGCTGAATGGTGTGCGCATGCGGAGGTGGGGGATCTGACGGAGGAAATCGGGGCTGTGATACTTTTTCTGGATGGGGTAGGTCTGTTCGTATTATGATAGTTAGCTGCACCCCTCTTGATCTTTTGTATGATCCCAGGAAGGCCTTATCTACCTCAGGGTCTGCTTTCCCAAGAACATTCACGTCTGTTGTTTGAAGCTCATGGGTTTGCTCCTTGCCCGGTGGGCAAGCCTTCCAGATCCCAGAAATTTCCACAGCAGTTCCGGTAGACAGTCTAGAGATACGTTGATTAGATACCATTTTTTTTTTCGAAACCAATCAAGGGTGGTCAAGCTCAGCAGCGAGATGTGACGTACTCGGCAGCCTGTGCTGGTCTCAAAAAAGCCTGTACAGGCTCAATTGTCGACCCGTCTGAGATCTCGGCGAACGCAAAGCGTTTCTGCTTTCGGACGGAGCGAATAAACCCATTCAACTTGATCTCTTGATCTTCTAAACTGCAGGGTCCATTTTTGCTTTGCTCCAGGACTTGGGCGCATCGTAAGAGTGTGGGGCTGACGCCCTGACCTGCAGGTTTATGGCTCAGTCTGGCAACAGACGTAGCGAAGGTTCGCCGCCATGTTCGCATTTCTTGTAGGAAGGGGCACCGAGCTGGTTGTGGTGATGGACGTTGAGGGCTCTGTTTCTGGGGAACGCGTGTGCGCCGAAGCGCTGGCGGACGGGCGCGCAAATTAGTTGATCGGCCTGATAAATAGCTTACTGTTATCTCCGCGCCTTTTCAAACGGAACCCTATAAAGCCCACCTAGGACATGCAAATGTACTTCGGACCATGTAATCCATTGAAACTAAAAGGCTAACTCTGTAGTAAAGCTATACACTGCATCCGCTTCAGTTACCCTTGCCACAAATTTAATAGCCAAATAATCCAGCCACTCATTCGTCCTGTGTCCCTGCCTTTATCGAACCCAAACTCTGAAGTTTATAGTATTGTTTCCTTTATAGCGCGGTGTTGCCACATAGCACCCAACAAACTAGCCTCTTTTAAGAGGTTTGATCGGTGCTTAGCTGTATTGAGAGCGTGAACAACCTTAACCGAAATGTTTTCGGTGTATGGAACCTTGCCAGTCAACGTGAAAGCTTCCATGTTGGACATTGGAATTAGGATAATGCAGCACACAACCAAATAACGGTGGTTAAGGCGGCAGATTTAAAGCAATTCTTGAAATCCCTGCTACCGAAAGCGCGGGCCATGATGGAGGATAAATGGGAGAGACTCGCAAGACCATCAACCCAGACCATCTTCAATGTATGGCCCATAGAATGCCGCATGCCATACAAAAATTCCTCAGGACACTACACTTTGAAACGATCAAGGACCCCCACTCCGGACTATCTGCCGGAGCCAGTCTTTCCAAGCCGCTGTAGGGTCGGCTGAGTTCTGGTTTTAAGCAGCCACATAAGCCGGCGGAGCCGCTTGTTTCCCAAGTTGCCTATCATTAACCCCTTTGACCCTTCCTATCTTGCGTATGCTGAAGAAAATAGCATGAACGGGCAATATAAGCTTTCTCAGGAAGAAACCAAACACATACGACCATAGGGTGTGGAGAACAGGGCTTCCCGTCCGCTCAGCCGTACTTAAGCCACACGCCGGGAGGTTAGTAGTTGGGTGGGTGACCACCAGCGAATCCCTCCTGTTGTATGTTTTTCTTAATTGTTTTTTTTTCTTCACGCATATTGTTGGATGCACGTGGGCATTACACCATGCTGTATTATCGGTGTGGTCAGAGATGGATTGCAAAAGTCGCACGGCGCCATATGCAATAGCTTTCACCTTCTGGTATCGAGTGGAAGTTGTAGGATCTCATATATGTGCTCCATCGACAGTGGAGTAATATGCAAAAGCTATGTCTCGATCTCGATGATAGTCTCAGGACGGGAAGTAGAGAGAAAGGACAGAGGCGAGGAAGCTAGTTGGCACTTATATATATATTGTAGAAATTCCGAAGGACCGAGGGTGATAGAAAGATGTTTTGCTTAAAAAGCTCGAGTTTATTGTAAGAGGACGCGGGGGTATAAATGGGTAAATTCTCTCAGTCCTTGACAAAGGGCTTTAAGGAACAATGGATACAAGGAATAAGGGAATACTTGAAAGTTTAGGCTTCTTGGATGATCTTGACAATGGATTTCGCCCAAAGCCCAAAGCTTTTGATGAAGCTAATAGAGTCAGTATATATTACAATGTACACAGTTATACAGCCTTTCCATTTATTAACTCACAAGCTGGCTCTCTCTGGCTCCGCGCGGGACCTGATATACTCAAACTCGGGGGTTTCAGGGGTTTACGCTTCCCAGAAGATTCTGGTTTGAGAGACCAACCAACGCCCGAGGCTGTTTGATAGAAGCCAATTGAGTCAGTATAAGCCATAATGTACGTTGTTGTGGGTCCTTTCCACGTGGTAACTCACGAGCTCGCTGATTCGGCTGATTGGGGCAAACGTTTTGGTGATGCCCTTCTGTATTGCAACTCCGACACGTAACCTTGGTACAGGAGACAATATTATGGTCGCCTTTGCAATAAACGCAGGACTTGTTCTTAGGACAAAATCGGGATGGATGGGCAAGGGATCTGCAAAATTGGCAACTTCTTTCTGGGTTAAATGACATTTTTACACGAATTGTAGGCAAAAAGATGGGAAAAGTAGGATAGATGAGAGCGGGATAGCTAAGGGTAGAATAGACAGAACAAGTACGAGTAGGATAGTTGAGAGCAGGAATATAAGTAGGAGAGAACTGTAGATAGATCAATAAATAGAAAAGGAGAACAGTATAAAGAGATAGAGTATAAAGAAGAAAGAAAGGCTTTCTGGTCTAATCCAGATTCTGTAACTGTAGCTGGATTGCGTATAAAGATATAAATAGAGTGAATCAATACTAGAATATCAATATGTAGTGAATGGTAGACTCGAGTCTTGGGATCATAAGGGCAATATGGGACAAATCCCATAGGTAATACGGCAATAACAAGACAAAAAAAAGTAGACAGATGTCAGGCCTTGTGGATTATTCACTCACTGTCATCTTATTCTTCCACAAATCACCTATGTCCACCACAGACAAGTATTCTCTTGGTTTTCTCCAGACCATAGAGGTTTGTTCATGCTGACAACTAAATTTATTTGATCATATACCAGCAGGGAGATGGGTCTCTGAAACAGAGACTACAGTTGACTTTCAAATAGAATAGGTCAAGCTATAGGGGTCATTAACATTGGAAAAATTGGTATGAGTATTTGATTTGTTTGAGGATGTCACAAACCAACATAAGTAGGCACACTATTCACTACATATTGATATTCCAATATTAATTCACGCTTTTGTATGCCTTGTACACAACCTAGATACACTTATAGAACCAAGTGAATATAAAAATTTCTTCTTTGTATTCTATCCCCCAACCCTGTTCCCTTTATGAAAGATGTTGTTTCGGCAAATATGGCTTCTCTTTGTTATTCAAATCTTTTAGTAAGCGATAAAAGTATAACTAACTAACTAGCTTAACAGTATTTGGGTTTAATAAAAGAAATAAAACTGGATAGATCTTATAATATTATGTTTGCAGGGAGCACTTACTATTCTTAGTTTGTATAAATATAATTTCTTTCTAGCTTGTGTGTATACAACTTGGAAGAGCTCTGGATAGGGTGATAAGCCTACGCTGACTACTACCATATTGATGCTGTTGTATATTTTGCTTTTTCTTGTTTTCTAGATGCCCTAGATTCTGACCTGGATCTGGATGAATTTGCACATGTCAGTAGTATCCGTGTATCGGGATTTTCTTTCATCGCTGAGAGAAAAAGAGTCTATTCCATTTCGACTTACTTCTGCTTTTGGGTCAGAAATTTTAACGATGAATAGCCTGCTCTATTTCCAAAACACATGCCATTATATGTATATGATAGCAAGTGCGCTAGGAGCTGTGTTGCCAAATTGAACTGGTTCGCCCATTTCTGCTACTGTGAGCTACCATACCCACAAGTGTATTCTGATACTTTTCTACCCAACTATCTAGAATGCCCTGGCCTGTTGATATAGATAGACTGAAAAACATTCCGGTGTTATCGAGACAACAGTCATCCAAGTTCCCTTCTGAAAGAAAATGAAGCCACAGAGTCCTCCACTCTTCTAACATTCGACTCACCGCAGTGAATTCGTACCGAGGTTTGTTTGGGGAGACTAAAGCTTTAATATCGCCGACAAGGTCAAAGCTGACCCTTCCTATATTTTCTAAAATTTCTCACCCCTTCTATCTTTTTTTCTATATGCGGGTGTGAGTGTACGTGATACCTACCAAGTACGTATCTTAAATCATATCCTCAGTCAGACTTTCTGAGCATAATGTCCATGTGATATGTATTAGATACATAAGCACCAACATGTATATGCTGTTGTATGTTTCTTATATCATTATACATCCCGTTACCCTCAGCCCTGTCTCCCGCCTATTCTGTAAGCCTACGGTTACAAGGTTCATTCCAGGGAATAATCCAAAGAGCATAAGATTTTTAGATCAAAAATTGTCAAAAAGGAACAAAACAAAAATAAAAAGCCCGCTTACACCTGAGTGGAACTACAGTGGCAGAGAACACACGCGATCATTCCTGAACACCAAACCCCCAGCGAAGTAACATATAGGAAACACGAATATGGGGATGAACGAGTGGCAGACTCAAATCCTAGATAGTGAGATAGTTCAAAAATAACCCAGCAAAGGAATGCAGTGATCACCTCACTGATCCTTGTTGCTCGTAAGCTTTCCGCTCTTCCTCAATCATCTCGATAGCGTCCGATACCCTGCCATCCACTGCTGCTGCATACACAGCAATTCTCTGGAGCCCGCCTTCCTCGGCGCCTCCATAACCTAAGCTAGCCAGTGCAGACACACAGTCATCAATGCTGCGTTGTCTTCCAGTGCCACTCTCAGCCGTAGACGTGTTTGGGCGGGGTATGGCATCACTGCGGTAAGATCGCCGATTGAAGGTATTCGTCGAGCTCATCTCCCGGCCATCCCGGAGGGAATGGCGTTCAGTAGCCCGTCGCCTCAATGGCCTGGTATTATCATGAGTCTCTTCAGCCCGTAGGGTATCCCACGGACCCGAATGTCTTCGTGACGGATGAAAAGATCTCACAGTCCTGGGGCGACGGCGATAACATGAGGCAGGCACACGATTGTTGTCGCCTCGCTGCTGTGTAGCATCGATTTCTAGCGATGAAGGGCTTGGTTGGAAACTATCTTGAGCGTCTTGGGGAAATGCACCGGGAAGGTTTTGTGGTGTCGGCCCATACAAACTGTCATGGCTGTTGATTCCGGCACTGCTCTGGAAAGTTGATCTAGTTCTGGGAGTGGAGGTTTCACTAGACGTTTCTGCCCCGCCGCGTCGTTCGGCCAGAAAGTGCGCATCTAATTGTGACACTGGTGGGAAACGGCGCTCTTCTGGCTCGCGGCTGAGATCTGGAAGTTGTGTAGATGTGTTGCCGCTCACCATAGGTTGTTGAGGAGAGCCTTCAGGCAAGAGCGAGGGGTATAGAGTATTGAGTCGTTCTGAGTCTAAAAGTGAGGAGCCAACCAAACTGGTATCGCTAGAAGACGCCCTAGACAAGTGGAGGGTATCACTCGAGCAGAGGTCCGCTACGGTCAAGGGCGCCGATCTCTGCTCGTCGGATGAACCATGTTCTCCACTAGTTTGTGGTTCGGACGCCTGCCTCGCTCTAGTTGGGGCAATAGAGGAAGACTGAAGCTCAGATGGCGCTGGCGGCTGATTAGAGTTTTCTTCGCGGCCCTGTGATGTGTCCAGCGTGGTGATGGGTGAGTGATCACTGATCTCAAGATTGATTGAGTGTCCATCTATATGAGCACCTTGCAAAGCGTCCAACGCCGCTTTTGCTGCGTGGATGGAAGGAAAGCGCAGGTAACCAAAGCCTGCGTGTCTTCCCGTCTCTGCATCTAGCGGCAGATGTACATCGACTAAAAATCCCTTGGAAGCGAAAACATCGCGGATCATTGCTTCGTGAACACCGAATCCCACATTCCCAATGAAAAGTGATGTTTCGGCAGAGCGAGCTGTGGAAGAAGAGGGTGAGTCAGGTTGAGAACGGCGAATTGCCTCGGGTGCGGGTGCTCCATTGCCATTCTGCCTATGGTGGGACGCAGGCCATTCTCTATGCCGATGGCGTGGTGGTCGCGGAGGTACATGTAAAGCATTTGCCGTGGGATAAAAAGGCCCGTGGTGTGGCGCATGAGGGTGGAAATGTGGGTGAGGAGCACGGGGATGAGGAGAATGAGGATGGAAGCCATGTGGTGGAGGCGGAGGAGGCGGAGGATGATGATGGTGATGATGAGGAGGTCCATGTGGCCAGAACACGGAAGGTAAAGGAGGCGGCACTGGGAATGTCGGAGGAGGATAAAACGTGTTTTGTGTGGCGAATGGAGGTTGGGAATTGCGGGGTGAGGGATGAGGTCTGTGAGGTAGGGGGTGTGATCTGTTCCATAAGCTTGGAAACTGCGCATGAACATCTGGGCTTGGTGGAATCGTCGGCGACGATGACCCCGGCTGTTGGTGTGTCGCCATCAAAGAATCAGCGTTGCGATTCGTGGGCAGTACCGAGCTTTCCGGTGATCCAACCTGCGTCGATGGAGCAGCTTGTGTGTTGATACCCGAAGGTTCTTTCTCGTTCTCGCAGTTTGCGGCTGGATTGGATTGCTGAGCTTCGGGTGATGCTGCCGGGATATCAGGCCGGGCACCAGCAGCAAGCTCCGTTTGTTGTGGATTTCCAGGGGCTCCCTGGTCTTGGCTTCTTGAGGCATTGCACCTAAACTCGGATTCGAAGGCCTCAAACAATGTGTTTCCCATGTGGCCAAGTTCAGATGCCATATTACGAAGACCCTCTATAGTTGCGGCTGGGGTAGGTAGTTCAGTTTGGAAAAGATTTCCCGCCCTTTGTCCTCCCACAGTTGATGCGTTATTGAGTGCCTGGATTAAGTTCCTCGCCTGACTGTCCAGAGCTGCAAGGGCTACCTGCACCGAAGACCCAACATGTTCTGGAAGAGTGCGCTGAACATTCTGTAACTGCCGCTCGAACTCAGGTAGCCTAGATCTCACGCCAGCACTAATCATTTCGGCACCCTCCACCAGATTATGCAGAGCATGTGCAAAGGCATCGCTCGGATGCTGACGTCGGTCATTGGATTCGGCTCTTGCTGGCGGCTCAGCTGGAGGTTCCGGTTGAGAGTTACCGTCATGGACGGTGTTAGTGGCATTCAAAATCCTGGCCATCTCAGCCTCAAATGCAGCCAAGAGCGGTTCTGCAACATCGGTCGTAGTGGAGCCAGGGTATTCGCGACTGGTGCTAGGCTCCTCTTGTGCATTAGATTGAGAAGCATCCGCAGCTGTAGGCCCCGTGCCGATCTGATCCCTATCCTGACCGTCTTCTAAGTGGGGCTTATATTCAAACTTCTTCCATAGATTCTTCACTGAATTAGACCGTCGGATGTCAAATATATGCATCGGCTCAGGGGCGATAGATTCCAGCGTCGGTTTTGAAATGTCAGAAGTATCAACGGGTTCTTCGAGACGTTGAGAAAGCTCGAGAGATGACCCCACCTATGATCTATTATTAGTATGGTAGATAGATATAGTTTGTATGAGCAGATATACCGTGATGAGCTCGTCGTCATCCTCGTCGACGTATGTAAGCCGGGCTCTAGGATGGTTTGCTGTTATCTCATCATAGTCGGTAGCAGACAACCGGACAATGCCCTGATGGTGACCCTGAAGGGTGCTGCAGTCTTCTACCACGGCATGATCAAGACTATGAGATCCAGCGAGATTGTCTTGGGATGAAGATCGATGAAGATCTCTTATCTGAAACGGTTTCAACATTTTGGCTTTCACTAAAATAGCTGCTCGGGGCAACGGGGGATATATTCGGGCAAAAAAAAATGACAGCGTGATAGACAAGGAAACGAGAGGCAAGATCAGGTTAATTCGAAAGATGGATTCAAGATTAAGGAATGAGAAAGAAAAATAATAGGAGAGGTGAGATTAGAGATGGACTAGCCAGAGGTCGAGAGTAACACAAAGCTTGGTGTCAAAAATCCGAGGGGAATATAGAAGCTTGCTGATGAGGCGAACGTGACAAGAGGCTATGCTGTTGCCTATGCAAAGAGCGATGGCAAAAGCAGGTTAAGAGACGGTAGGTAGGTATTACTATTCCTACCTACCAAAGGAAAGCGTTGCCCATCGTCATTCAGATGGCGAAAGGCTGTGGAACAAGCCAAGTTCAAAAGGGATTCAGGCAACCGTGTTAGTTTAAGGTTGGCTGGTGATGGAGGAGAGAATTGTTTGTTGCGGTAGACAAAAAGGATTTCCAAGTTAATAGTAGAAGTTAATGCGAAGTATTCCAGTAAATTTAGAGGTAAAGCTTTGGCCCCGCATGACGGGCAGTGATTGGAATATGACCGCTATCAAGTGACCCTCATCTTACGTACTCCCGCAGGCTTAAACCCTTTTCGAGCCTTTGATTTGATGGTTTATTACAAAACCTTTCATGTGCTGCTGCTGCTGCACGGCTGCCGCTTGATGTTGGCAGGAACGGTATTGTTCTTGGTATTCTTATGATTGTGTTTTGTTATTATTATACTTCCTCAATTGAGTATGTCATAACGTACGTTCTCATTTGGTTCGAACCCTCTCTCTAATTGGAATCGGTGGTTTTTCCCCATTCCTAAAGCTATCGCAACACTGATACCCGCCTTCTTTGACCGCGACAAAACACCTCGCATACCAACAACGCCAATGGCCTACCCTTCCGAGATACACATCAAACGTAGATCTACACTTATAGCTCACCGGCCGGAGTTTTAAAAAACCCTCCCGCTTCCTTTCGCAATTCCCTCACCCTTTTTCCCTCGCAAACACTCTATGGCGCCTCCCAACATTGCCCCGTCGCACACGAAACCGTCCGTGAACCGTAACGTGAAACACGTCGTGCTAGGTGACCTCCTTTTTCAGACCTGGTACCAGTCTATTTACCCAGAAGACCTTGTGAGTAAGGATACGGATCGGCTATACGTCTGTCGCTGGTGTTTCCGGTACTCGTGCGACACAGACGCCTATGCTAAACATACCCGGGTTTGCGAAAATCGAACGACACCTCCGGGGACAAAAGTCTACGATCATGGCGGGTACGCGGTATGGGAGGTAGACGGTGAGGACCATAAACTATTTGCGCAGAATCTTTCCCTGTTCGCGAAACTATTCCTCGATCATAAGTCGGTGTTTTTCGATGTCGCGTCCTTCCTCTACTACCTCCTCACGTTCACAGACCCCGACGATCCGGAGAATTACTATATCCTGGGATTCTTCTCGAAAGAGAAGCTCTCGTGGGATGCGAATAACCTGGCTTGCATTCTGATCTTCCCTCCGTATCAGCATAAACAGCTAGGCAAGTTGTTGATGGGTGTGAGCTATAAACTGAGTGATTGGGAAAAGGATGGAGGCTTGATAGGTGGGCCGGAAAAACCACTAAGTGAGATGGGTCGAAAGAGCTACAGTCGGTTCTGGGAGGAACGAATTGCTCGATATTTACTAGTACGTGGCTCTGATCCTGCAGACGTAGAGGATTCGTCACAGCAGAAGCCAAAGCCGTCCAAGAGCTCTCGGAAAAAGCCACCCCATGAAGTCATGACAGTACAAGATATAGGATTGGCCACCGGGATGTTAACGGAAGACGTCATCACGGCTCTCAAAGGCATGGGAGTGGTTGAACCTACAACACCGACGAAAAAGCGTAAGGCGAACCAAGATGCTGGCGAACCTGACGACGGCGAAACAGTGATGATACGAAAATCGGATGTGCTTGAATGGGCAAAAGCCCATCGTGTTACTTTACAAGATCCTGTTAGAGATGATGGCTTTCTTGGAAGATGGGCACCACGCGACACACCTGAAATTAGCGATTCAGAAAGTGGTGAGGGTGATGAATAAATGTATAGACTAATTTCGGCGACGCCAGATCTGGCCACCAGTATGTATCAGTATATGATGATAGAACTTCATGAACTCCGTTAAACCGAGCTAGATAAATGGAACACGCATTATGAAAGAGACACCATCTGATTTTGTTGTTTGCCAGAACCATGTGAGCAATCCCACTCGTATACGGACAATGAATGCATACTGTACCTTGACTGAAGCATTGTTCAGGTTGTTTTTCACTCTACGGTTGCTATGTTTATTGTTTCTGTTATTATCCAGGGCACATTAAATCGCCCAAGCTCATTAGCATGGTGTTCTGTATTTATGGAATACATTTTGGCATCAACTATTTTTGAAAGCGGAAAACCGAATAGAAATCCTCTCCGAGCTCCTTTACATGATCTGATCTATACGTTGCAACTGCATTACTCGTCCATACCTCCTGGTCCTCCCTGCTTACCCATCTGCCTAGCCTTCAGAAGCTCGTCGCACAGAAGCAGGTTAGAGGCGATACCAGTGCTTGATGCGACGCAGTTGCGCAAGACACGGAAGGAATCGAAGACGCCCTCCTGCACGGGATCCATTGGCTCGCCAGTAGTCAAGTCCAAACCAACGATGTTGCCCTCTGTCCGCTCATCTTGCAGGGCCGCCAAAGAGTCTTGAATGTCGTGACCTGAGTTGGCAGCAAGAGTCTTGGGAATGATCAAAAGGGCATCCGCAAAGGCGGCGACACCCCACTTAGCCTTACCCTTCACAGTCTTGCGGAAGTTCTCGGACGACAGATGGGCGGCACAGGCAACTTGGAACGCACCAGCGCCGGGGATGACGCAGCCATCGACGATGGAGTTGTACACAGACCGCAGACCATCACGGACGGCATCCTTAACCTGAGCGATGGTATGCTGGTTGGGTCCCTTGATGAGGATGGTGACGGACTTGGGGTCCTTAACTTCTTCGACGAAAGTATACTTCTCTTCTCCGAGCTGGTGTTCGTAAACAAGACCGGCCCAGCCGAGGACGTCGGGCGTTAAGTCCTCTACACTGTTCTGCGCGATACCACCGCAAATCAACTGGAGACGTTCCATGTTTCTCCGCTTAGCTCTCCGAAGGGCAAGGATACCGTTCTTGCTAAGGACATCCAAGCTCAGGGGATCGATACCCTTCTGGTTGATGACAACGAAGTTCTTCTTCGGATCCAGGCCGCAAACCTGCTTCTTAAGCTCCACAATCTTCTGCAGTTTAGAGTCCACAAACTTGCGCTCACTCTCCACCAATTTATCTCTTTGTTCAGCAGAAGAGTAGTAGAAACCGGAGTTGATCTCTGACTTCTCATACTCCAGACTGACATTCAAGGTGAGGATGTAAGCATTTTCAACTCTCTTAGGCATATCAGGATGTCTTGCACCGTGGTCCAGGGCAAGACCACGGATGAGTTGAGTGTCGGAAGATGTGCGGTGTTGCATGGTCATTATCTCAACCATGTGCAGATCTGGCTTCTCGGGAGCTCTGTGGATAGCGAGAACGGCATCGACAATGTCGGGGGTAAGCTTCTCGGCAAGTGCACTGTTGAGTTTCGTACTGAGCGAAGTCCGAGCGACAGACAGCAAAAGCTCACGGTCGATTGCACGCTCAATCTTGAATTGATCAAGGAACTGTATACAAATTCGTATCAGTCTCGACGCTCATATAGCCAGCAATCTCTCAGTACTGACCTTAAGAGCCTCGTTCTTCGCGATCTCATATCCATCTGTGATTACTCTAGGGTGCAATCCTTCGGAAATGTAACGGTCTGCCTGCTTCAGAAGTTCTCCCACCAACAACACCACGGAAGTTGTTCCATCACCAGTGATATCATCCTGTGCTGTCGCAGCTCGGGCAATCATGACCTTCGCCAAATCAGTATTCGAAGAAGTCTCTGGAAACGTGACGAAGGCATCTTACGGCGGTGGGGTTTTGGATTTGCTGTGTAAACATTAGCCTGTGTCTGAAGGTTCATAGATTGGCCTAAGCCTTACCATCTCTCGCAATAGCACATTCCCATCCTTAGTCAATTTAATCTATTTTGCATGCCCATTAGATAGCTGATTTTGCGATAAGGGGAAATATATCATCATACTCCGCCGGCACCGTCCACCAACCTAAATTTTGTCAGCGCTTCCCCATCTTACATCGACCAAGTATTAAAACGTACATCTTCAATGTTCCGGAGGGGCCCAGGTTAGATTTAAGAACATCCTGGAGACCTTCACCGGCACTAATATTGACCTTCAAGGCTTCTGCCCTCCGCTGTGCAATGTTAGTTTGCGTGTGACCACTGAGGGGCTACTTCTGAGGGGGAAATTATCAGTGACATACCCTTGACTCGGCCTTGGGATTGAGTAACTGAGTTGCAGACATTTTTGCTGAACGGGTAAATGACAATCAGCAATCCCCAGCGAACTAACTCGTAGAGAAACAGGCTTGCTGGTGCTATCGGCCCCAAAGAATAGCCCGCACTGGCACAAAGCTGGTGGTGTTTGCCGTCGAATGCGGTGAGCTCGTAGTTTTGGCAAAAAGCCCACATTCAGTATTCGCACTAGCGCCGCCGCGAAAAAAAAGAGCTCCGACGGCTCGACTCTCCAAATTTGCCCTCCAGCCATTTTTTACCAACTCCACGGCGCTCCACGGCAAGTCTACGACCGCAGACTCCCGGGATTTGGGTAAGGGGTTCGATCGATTACATTGAGAGGAATTTTTTTCCTTGTTATTTTGGCCTTTTGACTCGATTTCACCATGGCCGACTTCCTACTTTTCGAGGGCCCTATGGGCTACGGACTTTTCAAGGTCGCCCACCAGGGTGACAGCGTTGGCAATCGCTTGAAGGAGGTCCAGGATGGTGTTAACGATCTTTCTAAGTTTGGAAAAATGGTTGAGCTGGCTAGTTTTCTCCCATTCGAGTATGTCCAACTTCCCGATTGGACTTCATAATAGAGACTGACTGGTCCCAGGAACAACAAAATGGCCTTGAGCGAAATCAACGACGTCTCGGAGGGTGTTGCCTCCGATACTCTTATTTCCTTCCTCGAATTGAACCTTCCTAAGCCTAACAAGAAGAAGAAGGTTGTTCTGGGCGTTCTGGACAAGGCCTTGGCCGGAAGTATCAAGTCTGCCTTTTCTTTCGTTGACTGCGAAACCGGCGACACCAGCGAGGTTGTCCAAGACATGCTCCGTGGTATCAGGCTTCACGCCACTAAGTTGCTGAAGCAACTTCGCGAGGGTGATATGGACACTGCTCAACTTGGTCTTGGCCACGCTTACTCCCGTGCTAAGGTCAAGTTCTCTGTTCAGCGTGACGATAACCATATCATCCAAGCTATCGCTATCCTTGACCAGCTCGACAAGGCCATCAACACATTCTCTATGAGGGTCCGGGAGTGGTACTCGTGGCATTTCCCTGAGCTGATCAAGATCGTTTCGGATAACCAGCGCTACGCGCAAATCGCTCTGTTCGTGAAGGACAAGACCACTTTGACTGACGACAAATTGCACGATCTTGCTGCGCTTGTGGAGGACGATGAGGGTGTTGCCCAGAGCATTATCGATGCTGCGAAGCACAGTATGGGTCAAGAGATCTCCGAGACCGACATGGAGAACGTCACCTCTTTTGCGCAAAGAGTCGTCAGCCTTTCCCAGTACCGCAAGTCTCTGCATTCCTACCTGACTTCCAAGATGAGCGTCGTTGCGCCCAACCTTGCTGCCTTGATCGGAGAGATCGTCGGTGCTCGTCTCATTTCGCACGCCGGAAGCTTGACCAACCTTTCGAAATACCCCGCTTCCACTGTGCAGATTCTTGGTGCTGAGAAGGCTCTCTTCAGAGCCTTGAAGACTAAGGGAAACACTCCTAAGTATGGTCTTCTGTACCACTCCTCTTTCATTGGCAAGGCAGGCCCCAAGAACAAGGGCCGGATCTCTCGATTCCTTGCGAACAAGTGCTCTATCGCCTCTAGAATCGATAACTTCTCTGAGGAGCCCACGACCAAGTTTGGTGAAGTCTTGAAGAAGCAGGTCGAGGAGCGTTTGGAGTTCTATGCTACCGGAGCCGCTCCTACTAAGAATGAAATCGCTATGGTATGTTATCTTGCATTATTGCCATCATTGTGAACTTTTGGGTGACATACTAACTTTGCATATAGAAAAACGCCATGGATGCTGTCTTGGCTGATATGGACATCGATGCGGATCAGAGCGATGAAGAGATGGAAGATGCTGAGGTTGAGAGCAAGAAGGAGAAGAAGGACAAGAAGGAGAAGAAGAAGGAAAAGAAGGAGAAGAGTGAAAAGAAGGAGAAGAAGGAGAAGGGCGAGAAGGAAGAGAAGAAGAAGAAGAGGAAGTCCGATGTTGGTGAGGGCGAGTCTGAGAAGAAGAAGCGGAAGCACGACAGCGATGCTGAGCCGTCCAAGAAGAAGAAGAAGGTTTAAATGCACCATTTTCTGGGACATGAGGGCGTCATTGTCGCGGCGTTGTAGGGTTGATTTTGAGTTCATTTCCTATCTATGTTCTGTTTTACTTCACGACTTGTTGGGCTGGGTATTTGTAAATTATTCGATTGAGGCCTCCGTCGTGCTAAAATTTGTCTGTAGCTCCTGAAAATGTCAATCGGATTTTATGTTCTACGTGGATCTGAGTGTCATAGTACCTGCTAGACTACTTACTACATTACACTCATTCAGCCCTACAGTTATTGAATTGCCATAGCGTTTGGGACCGGAAAGAAAGGCGGAATTGTACTGCCGTCGTCCATTGAGACAAACTGCCGCAACTCCCCCTCTCGAACAATGACCCAACCCTATTGCTTGCCAGTCAATGGCGATGGCCCGAGCCCTTGCATTCTCCGCGATCCTCCATTTATATGAGTTATGATGGCTGCAAGTGACACTAGCTCGGGATAGAACCCATGAATAATGATGATCTGCTGAAATCCTTGCTCCTGTGAACTCGAGAGTCTTTGCTTTATCAATGAAGGCTTATCAAAGTGATGCCCCCACATCCGCCTTCAGTTTCAGCCCCGCGATGATGCCTACGAGTTTACCGACAATGATTTTGAACTCGCCCAAGCCCAAGCGCAGCGCCTCAGAAGAATCTGATAGCTATAGCCCTTCTATATCATCTCCATCCAGCGTCTCAGCTCCTAGCCTACCAGAAGTTAAGCTTCGCGAGGAAGAAGAGTTAGGGAGATATAGTCCTCGAGCCGCCGTTGCTGGTCGGCTAGGGCAGCTGGCCATACGTGGGGACCACTTTCCGACACCGCAATTTCTGAATGGTAATATAAGCCAGTCATCACTTGCGCATTCTGCACAATCGGGATGTTGGGCTACTTCCTATAGCAGTTTTTATGATATGTCCGAGACGAACTCAGCGACAGAAACCAACACTGTCTCGCGTGGGCCTTCTGAAGCAATTATCGATGATCGGAGCAATACTACGCCAACTCCCTCCCCCAAGAAACAGGCAACACGAAGCCCTCGCAAGAGACGAAACCCTCCTAAAACACAACGACCACGTAGGAAGTCACCGCCTCCCACTAGCAGTGCAGCTGACGACTCGCTTACATGGCATGACTCCGAGATCACCGGTCATGATCCAAGTGATCCAAATGACGATGGGTACGGTATCAATGGAATAGGCTTCAAACCGACAGCGGCAATGGCCTGGAACAGATCACAGAAGCGGCAGAAGCAGCTTGCGGAATGGAAAAGTCGTGAGGCAAGGGAAGCGCGAGAAAAAAGAAGGGAGAAACGAGATGCTGTCGGTTTCGAAAAGCTACGAACTATTCAATCGGGCGCCATCCAGAAGAAAGTCAAATTTGACGTCTAACGTGTGTTCGCCTGCCAATTTCTCTGTCTTTTTCTTTTCTTTCCTTTTGCTTTTTGCTCTTGGTATTTCAAATTTTGGATTAAGGCAACTTTGGATGCAATGGAGTATGGAATATGAATGAGCTGGCGTTGGTTTGGATATTGATATGCCATCACGAAACTATTCTTCCTTGACAGGCTGGAGCCTTAATGAGATAGAAATATGTACTGTACATCCCACTCGAAATTTACAAAGCGATCCCAGCAAACTCCATGACTCCGGGCAATGCGCGAAAGGACTACCAGAACTTATAGTTTGAAAGGTTTGTCCAGCTCTTCTTTTTCTTCTCTTCCTCTGCCATGCGCGCGACCTCCGCAGCCTTCTCTTCCTTTTCTCGCTGTTTCTTGATCTTCAGCTCTTTCATCAACTCCACAGCTTGTTTCATACCGTCCAACTCTTGTACTCGACGCCGCTGGCAGAACTCGTGCGCCGCGAGAGAGGTAAGGGCAAATGCGCCAACGGCCCAATTGGAAGCAGTCCATAATGAGCGCAAACCTAAACAATTATTGTTTTAGGGTTACCAAACGTCATATCCTAAGAAAAAGCCGAGTGAACGAAATTATTTACCTCCTAATACACCTCTGATTCCACCAATTCCGAACCCTGCTCCAATACCTAGGAGCAGGGAGTCTCGTGCGCAAGGTGCTTTGTAGAATGATGTGACATCTTTAAGGGACATTGACTTCATAGCTTCCGTGACCGTAGCATCTTTCGATCCCCTTCCAGAGGGCCCGGCTCCTGTTGCTAGCACGTTCGCCGACTCTTCGGGGTTCCCAAAAGCATCCCATAGCTTTCCGACCTGTGATTTGGGGAATTCATGCTTCGGCTTGTTTTGGTGAGAGGCTTCTTGGGAGCTGTTATGTTGCTCGACATTTGGGGCAGGCGATTCCGGTATGTCCCCCGCCATAGCGTATGATTTATATTGAATTGTTGCCTTAAAACCCAGTCAACACGTACAATGACCTAGATCACTGACAGACTCTTGCAGGAACAATGACTGATCGGAGAAGCTATGATCCGAAGGTTATTCAGATACTGCCAACACTGGTTAATTTAACCGTGGGCGGTGTAGGTCTGACCGATGGCACGCGTATAGTGGAACGCGAACGCGTCGGGGGCACCCGCAGATTAGCAACCAAATTTGGGCTCTTCAGTAGCTTAGCATGATCTAAGTTGACAAGATTGAGTAAACTGGGTCTTCAAACTTTGTTCAATTTTCTATTGAGTGTACAATTTGGCAGGAACCAAACATGCCCATTCTTTGTTCTACTAATAACTAATACTTAACATTTGCGTTCCATGCTTAACCAACTTTCACACATCCCACAGTGATCCAGCCCTAGCCAGCGGGCGTGTCGTCGCAATGCCTGTAAGGAAACCCAGCAAGTACGGAAACAAGTTTCGTTCGAACGCTGCATCTTTCAAACCGAAACGGACAAAGACCATCGAATTTTCTTCCCTTCGATCGACAGAAGCCACGTCCCAAGATGAGAAATTCGAGGCGATTCGGCTGGCGAACAGCATCGACGAATCCTTGGGATTCCCACGCTTTGAGTCCGGCGAGAAAAGGGTCGGCTGGCTTACCAACATGCATAGTACATCAGTAGAAGATCCGAATGTGCCCGGAGGACGCGCCGGTGTGGACTATTACTTTCTTGAAGACAACGGCGGAAGTTTCAAGGCAACGGTTGAATACGACCCATATTTCCTCATCGCAGTGAAGAAGGGACACGAGGCTGAAGTTGAGGAATGGTGTCGGAGAATGTTCGAAGGGCTTATCAAAAAGGTCACGAGAGTAGAGAAAGAGGACCTTAAGCTACCGAACCACCTGCTCGGGCACCGGAGGACTTTCCTTCAAATGTACTTTGCAAATGTGAGCCACCTGCTGGAAGTTCGAAGGACACTTCTCCCACTGGCGGAAAAGAATAAGAAAAATGTGAATGTGATGGATACCTACGTGGAGATTTCAAGGTTTGTTGAACTTAGGCGGATGCTATCTAGATCGGTTAGGAGCTAACTATGTTCTAGCGCAAATGCTGGCTTTGATCTCTTTGACGACGAAATAATTAATGAGTCACGATCTAATGGAACTATGGAAGCGAGTGATTTTATAATTGATATTCGGGAATATGACGTTCCTTACCATGTTAGAGTGGCGATTGACAAAGGTAGGCGACTCCCTCCGATGACGTGGATTACCTGACTGACAAAACATCTTGAAGATATCCGTATAGGGAAATGGTACACTGTAGAGGCAAAACACGGTGTGATCTCATTGACTTGTATAGAGGAACGAGTCCAACGTCCTGACCCAGTTGTTCTTGCTTTTGATATTGAAACAACTAAACTGCCACTGAAATTCCCTGATTCTGTCATCGATCAAATTATGATGATTTCGTACATGATTGACGGACAAGGATTCTTGATTACGAATCGAGAGATAGTGTCTGAAGATATCAACGATTTCGAGTACACGCCCAAGCCCGAATACTATGGACCATTCATGATTTTCAACGAGCCCGATGAAAGGAGTGTCCTAGAACGATTTTTTGGACACATAAAAGAGGCTAAGCCAACTGTAATCGCTACATATAACGGTGACTTTTTCGATTGGCCGTTCGTTGAAGCGAGAGCTAGTGTCCTTGGAATCGACATGTATACGGAGATTGGCTTTCGCAAAAACAGTGAGGACATTTATCAGAGCGATCACTGTGTGCATATGGATTGCTTTGCTTGGGTCAATCGCGATAGTTACCTCCCTCAGGGAAGTCGTGGTTTGAAAGCAGTCACTGTTGCAAAGCTCGGATATGACCCTGATGAACTCGACCCAGAACTCATGACTCCGTACGCAAGTGAGCGCCCTCAAACACTAGCCGAATATTCGGTGTCCGATGCTGTCGCCACATATTATTTGTACATGAAATATGTCCATCCTTTCATCTTCTCGCTTTGTACCATTGTTCCCCTTAATCCCGACGACACGCTACGAAAAGGAACAGGTACACTTTGTGAGATGCTACTGATGGTTCAGGCATATCAAGGCGAAATCGTTCTACCTAACAAGCACAAGGAACCCCCAGAAGCTTTCTATGAAGGCCATCTGCTGGAGTCAGAGACATATGTTGGTGGGCACGTGGAAAGTATTGAGGCTGGTGTGTTCCGAAGTGACATCCCCGTTACATTCAAGATTGATCCTACTGCCATCGATGAACTTCTTCGGGATCTGGATGCGGCTCTGAAATTCAGCATTGAAGTGGAAGAGAAAAAGTCATTGGATGATGTTGTCAACTACGAGGAAGTCAAGGAACAGATCTCCAAGCTTCTGATCACTCTGAAAGAAAATCCAAACAGGGACGAGAATCCTTTCATCTACCATTTGGATGTTGCTTCCATGTATCCGAATATCATCACCACAAATCGATTACAGCCCGACGCCATGATCCAGGAGTCCAACTGCGCTGCCTGCGACTTCAACCGACCTGGCAAAACCTGTGACAGGCGAATGCCGTGGGCATGGAGAGGCGAATTCCTTCCTGCCAAACGTGACGAATATAACATGGTTCGACAAGCGGTTGCAAACGAAAGATTTCCGGGCAAGACGAAAAACAGTCCGATGAGGATGTTCAGCGATATGAGTGCTGAAGAACAGTCTGCCATAGTCAAAAAGAGGCTTCAGGACTATAGTAAGAAGATTTATCACAAAATCCACGACAGCAAGACAATGGTCCGAGAGGCTATTATCTGCCAACGAGAGAATCCCTTCTACGTAAACACCGTCCGCAACTTCCGAGATCGCC